CAAGGTACACCCACCCACCTTGGATTTGGGCTATCCTTCACCATTTTCTTCCCATACTTCCTCTACTTGTAGCTATCGTCCAATGCTTCAACCTCTGACCTTGTTTTGAATGCAAATCTCTCCCTAACTTCCTTCTTCTGGTGTCCATTCATAATAACGTCTCCTAATTAAAACACAGCCAACCAGTGGGGGCCATTAGTACTAAAATTGAGAGATAACTGATAAATCACACTTTGAAATATATGCTGTACATGAACATATTTCTCAAGAGAAACAAATTGAGTATAATAGCACTGGCCTAGGTGGGCTTACTTGTACTACCACAGCCTGTAGACCCTTCAACGTGGCTGCTACGTCCTCCCAAGTCACTTACTTCAACGGAGCTCTGATAGATCAACTGGTTAGGAGCATGCCCGCCAGAAACAAAACATTGATCTTGATCATTGTCTGGCCAATGATCACCATCGAATTTCAAGTACTCAGAGAGCTCCAGAGGAAAAGAAAAACTATTGCCATGTCTTGTCCACTTGTGCGTACCTGTAAAAGCGTGAAGAATCAACGGAAAAGCAAACTATATGTAATAAAGCCTCAAGTTCAAGAACATATTGAGGCAGGGAAGCATAGATCCGACAGGAGAAGAATGTGACGACCACGACTACACTTTCAAACTAGGGAAGCTCTCAATACAAGAAGAAGGACGACGGCAAGCAAGAATCAACGTGAGTAACACTCACGGTTGAGATCGGACAGCGATGGTGATGATCTTTGGTCAAATATGGCAGAGCAAAGGAGAAGGAGGTGGAGAGATTAGAGCAAAGGACTGTTAGGAGGTGAAGTAGAGCAAGGAGACAATCAGGTAGTGAAGAGAATGAAGAGAGAGAAGCCCAACATCCATTGCCCACTCAATGTAGCGTTGTAAAAGCTGGGGTAATTGGCTTTGTTGAAAACGCCCATTTAGACCCCAACGTTGGTTGCAATTTTTTTTCATCCAAACAAAATTTTTTAACTTTTAATATCTCAACCTAAGTTTGGAACATCCCAACTTAAGTTAGGATGTTATCCAAACACACACTTAGTTTTAGCATCTACGTTTGACATTGCATCTTAACAGAGTATATTGTAACAGCCCTCCGCTCACCCCGCCTCCTTGAGGTCTTTTGCGGCGCTGGACACTCTCCCCCCAGGCCCCACAACAAGGGCGACCCCACCCCTTACGGTGAGCATCAGAAGACAAAGACTTCCCCGCAATAATGTGCAGGATTATTCCCCTTGCGGAGAGCCTCCCCAAGTTCGATCCTTAAACCTTTCCTACATAACAAAGTTGAGGCTGAACCTGATACCATTGAGTCAAAGATGCTCACCGTAAGGGGTGGGGTCGCCCTTGTTGTGGGGCCTGGGGGGAGAGTGTCCAGCGCCGCAAAAGACCTCGATGAGGTGATGTGAGCGGAGGGCTGTTACATATATTGCTTAGGAAAATTGTTAACAAATATTGCAGAAAGATGAATAATTAATTAGTGACATTATTTTTCTCTTTTCATTAATCCATAGAATCACCGGCTCTTCCTCCTCTAAAAAACTTTGCAATTTTGAGGCTCACAATTCCTTCTATTTCTAATGGGTGATCCATCATGAAATGCATTTATGGGATGGATAAGTTTTGATACTTGAAAATTTCAAAAGATTTTAAAATTTAAAATTTAAAATTGTGAATTTGTTGAGAAATTATAATAATAGACAAGATCATGTGGGAGAATATTCAGGTATAAGGGAAAGTGATTTCTAACAGTTTTAAAAATAATAATAATATTATTATTTTTTAAAAATATTTTTAAAAACTAATGCTGATATAAATGGTTAGAATTGCAGCATTCCTGAATTGTATACGTGCCAAGTCAGGAATATTGCTTGCGGTTGTGTCTTTATATAGAGACAATCATAGATGATGTGGCACAGTCTAAAAATTTCTTTTGCGCGCGCGCAAAGATGTGCCTTTCATATGCTTCGTCACTAAATCTGTTTCCCTTTTCCCTTTTGTTTACCCAAGAAAAAAAAAATTCTGTTCCCTTTTTCTTCCCGTAAAATGTCACTCCTTTCTGTGTTTCAAATACTTGTTTAATACTTTCGAAAAAAAAACTTGTTTAATACATACGACGAAATAAATGAAAAATAAAATAGTTTTAGAGGAAAATGATCATCATGTTTCTATCATTCAAAAACTAATATAATACTGTTAAATACTGATAACAACAACATAATAAATGCTTAAAAAAAATTCTACTAATATACCAAACCGCTGGTAAAAGATATTTTAGGAGCACTTTCCCAACTATAAGAGAATTATGCTGTGTCTAGACTTGGAAAAGAAACTGACTTTTTTATTATCTCTGAAGGCAAAGTGCTTAAAATATTACATAAGATAACTCATTTGCGGTAAATTGAATAGTTTGTAAATTAGTAATCTCTTACACTTTTATCTGTTTCACCAATAAATAGTCTCTTGGCAGCGAATTGAATCTTGAAAATGCTAATCATTAAAGCTGAACGGCTTTACCCTCCAACAAATTTGACGACACCCAGTAATTCAACTCCCTTTTTGGTCAATTTTGGGCAACAACAAACATAATCTCTGTGATCAGGACAGAGCAATTTAGGGGGAAAAAAATCCTAAACTTTACATTGTTCTACATGAAAAACTAGGGTACTAAACTAGGGCCATCATGAATATTCTCAAACTTTTTCATTCTTCTTTAGATATAGAGTTTGATTGAATCCCAATTAGCCGAGTTCCTTGAATGGGAAGGCACGCTTGCTCATTGTTGATTTGAGTGGGACCGCTTCACTTCAGCATCCCATGCTGCTTGCGCAAGTATCTCGCACAATTCTATTACAGAGCCTCTTATTGGGCCCACGGCCCGGACAAATCTACAGGCCCAAATTCACTATGAAAAAAGACGGAAATTTAAAATTAGAAAATATAATAATGGTGCAGGGCATCAATAATCATTGACTTAATTGTTATCTATATTTTCTCTTATCAGTATATTTTCTGTTTAATTATGAAGGGACGCGCAGTTTGAAAAATCCACGAGTTATTGATCAGGTGCGATAAATAATTGAAGTGCATATACACCAATCTGTTCAAGTAACATATTATTAGTTATAATGCCATGAATGTATAAAATAATAATAATAATAATAATAATAATAATAATAATAATGTTGTCATGAAGGCGATGAAGTGTCCAATTTTAATTCTAGTCCCCACTTTGTCAAAGGATGGGGCCAGTTGTCTTCCTTGTGTTATAATTGTGGCCACTATCTTTCCACACATTGCACTCATGCCTGACAATAATCTCTTTGGTATCACTAAATGAAAAGAAGCAAGATGGTTTTCAGGTGAAAATTTTAAATAGCAATAACTCGTGCATAAATTTGTGTTTTATATCTATTTATGGGATTAATAAATTGTAGCGCGGAACCAATAGTTTTCCTTCTTAAATGAAACTAGGTCCATGATTAATTCTGTGAGCTTTCCACATGTGTTTCATAATTGATGCTTGTCTTTTAATTGCATTTTGCTTTAGCAAACGATTATTATTTATTTTCATGAACTTTAACGAGCACAACAAGCAAAGCTACTTTCTAAATTGAAATGTAAAGAGAAAAAAGGAAGCTCATTTTTAGTCTCAGTTTAAACAAATTGGCACAGATTGATGGAGAGGTGATTCCTCTGTTTGCACACTTCATGCGGGAACCTTCTGCATTGCTATGACCTGCAAATCCAAAACAGAGCAAATAACAAATATGGTTTCCCACACAAAAAAAAAAAAAAAACAGCCTTTGTTCTTTTTTCCCTCAAGTACATTTTAATCATGCTTTGGGATCACACCAGGTCCACTTTGAAAATTAGAATGGTTAAAAGGAACAGAGGTTAAACACAAAGTTCATCTAAATCTTAAAAAATCGATCCAATAACTGTATTGTACCAGTAAAAATGTCATGCCAAAGAGCCAAATTTAGACATGAGAAGTTTGTTCAAAAAAAAAAAAAAAAGACATGCGAAGACTATTACAATTTCTAATAGACAAAAAATCAAATCTTAAATCTTAGATATAATTTTCTCAAAATTATGTACTGTTTCTGTCCTTTTTTTTTTAATATAAGCTGTGGATATTATTTGTTTAAATTTCATTCATGCGTAGAGAAACATTAACCTGACAGAGATTGTTGACAGAATAACGTAGGACCACGTGCCAACTGTTAACTTTTTTTCAGTTAAGATAAATTGGTGACATGTAGAGAGTATAAATAAGCAAATTAAGGTAAAATAATACGATGATGGATTGGAAAATTGGATGGAGGAAGTCACAGTCCACCACAACCAACCACTTCATCAAAACATCTAAATTTTATGTACTAAACTTTTAATAATTATACCTACCACAGACTACTCAGCCATACAGCAAAAGGAATTGATGGCCTCATCATGACCACCAAATCAATGCAATCCAGTTACATGATTACTCCCACAGTTGTCACATTCACAGTGTGATAACCACATCACTGTCCATATCATAAGCAGATATTATTTTAATTCACATTAATTCTATTGCCATCCATCATCCCTTCCTCTTCTTTCACCCTTCTTTTTTCTGACTCACTAATGCATTCATGTTATGCACTTGAACTGATCTAACTCATCCTGTAATTACCCACTTTGATGAACTTTAGACATACTATTAGCCATACTTTATGCTAATCTCTTTGTATATGTAGCCTAATAGCATTCGTTAGCCATGATGACAAACCCCAAAAGCACTGCAGCTCTTCAGGATTCCAGCAATTTCTCAAGACAAATAAAATAAAATAAAATAAAAGCCTTGTGAAAAAGGAAAAAGGTGACTCGGTCACTGCCTTTCACCGAAAAGTGCAAGCATACCTGTGTTCGCCTTGACTTTAAATTAAGTTGAAATTATAAACAAACATGCCATAAAGTATGTTTCAGAGTCATCTCCATCTTCTAGCCCTGCATGGGTTCATGTGACTTTCACTTCACCACAACAACTTTCCCCAGACATACTAGGAGGAGGGAGGCTCAACAAGTGGTCCTCCAAGCATCTGTCAGAAGAACAACGATGCACTTAGTTTTCTTATGGTATGGAGTGGATCTTTAAGATAATAGTGTGAAAATTCTAAGTGGGGTTGGTGGTGTAGACTGTAGAATAATCACATTTGCCAGGTCTCTTTGAGATGGGCGTCGTTACAGTTGCTGAATTGAAGCCTAGTATTTCAGGGAAGAGGTCCTTTCGTCCAAATTCAAGCATAAGGCATGCCACTGAATGGTAATTCTTTTTTATTCTTTGAATCCTTAGTATTCATATTGCAGTTCTGCTTCTCTATATAGAATGTCAGGTGCTTGATTCAAGTCCAAAACCACAGACCTGTTGGTCTTAAAAATGTTTCCAATAATAGAATTGTTAAGTGTTATTTTTGGAGTCGTTTTCACAGACCCACACAAGGAGGGGATGGTCTACTTACAATGAACCTCATCTTGGAATCTAGCTCTCCGTGGAGAATTCCCTGCAGTTTCATGTTGTGTGTCTATTTCATTGTCCCTTTTCTGTTGGATTCTGAAGGGCCTGTTTCCCTTCAATCTTCCATGAACTCGCCTTTTGGTTTGCCCAGCAATTTTCCATTCCCTTGCCATCACAGCCTGTAAAAATTTATGGCAGAGAGCAACGCTTAACTGTTCTGGTATTAATTAAAACCACTGATTGTAGAGAAGGACGTAACCTTGACATTGATGTAGTCCTTTGTGTAGCCGACAACGACATGAAGGCGTATAGTCAGTGTCCAGCTCTCATCTGTCACCAACGTAAGCGCCAATTAATGTTTGTCTGTCAATAATTAGGCAGCAGATGTCATATAAGATTTATCACCGACTGTGTGAAAATCTTCTCCACATAGAACGGACAATTATATCCAGCTATCTGACAATGCTAGCATGGCTCATGTTTTTCCCCCACCTTTCTTATCTTGGGTAGTCAATGATTCTGGGTTAATGGGTTCCACTATAATGGTTCAACCAGTCCTGCCATGTTCAATTTAAGCTTATGCTTGTGAGTGAAACCATACTGTCTGTAGTACGGCTCAAGTAGTTCCACATATTCAGTGATAATTGAGTTGGGGCCAATCTCACCTTGCTCCTTGATCTAGGAAGATTGTGTTGTCTTTTGGCTTGTGGTGTTTAAAGCCCATAACTTTGAACTACATTTCTGTACGTTTAATTATTCCCAGTACCTGCCACATGAGGCTCCTCTGGCAAGGTCTCTGACTATCTCGTTTCGGTACCGATTAATAATATGCATGCTAGCGGTTGTTGCTATATATTGAAACTTCCATGTCTGTCTCCTACAATTGTTCAACTGGACTTGCTTGTTACAGGCCAATCTCTGATGTCTCTAGCGACCTCACCATTGAAGTTGGAACATCAAGCTTTGCACTCCACAAGGTACACGAAACAAGCTGCCTTTCTCATCCTTACAGCATATCCACCCTGGATTTCTTAGCCAGATAACGTTGCCTTGATACTTCTTTATTTTGATTTAATCCAATTTTTACCAATCAAATCTTTGGAAATTTTATTATTTTACTTATCCATGCAACACATTAGGCTACCACATATCAGTAATCCCTAAGAGTTTAGGAATACTTCATGACATCTCTTGATGCCTCAGCAAGAAAAAGAGTGGAATGCAATATTGCAAATATTTTCTCTAAAGCATATGTGAAACTGAAAAGAAGGCATAAAAATGTTATATCATGACGTTGGAAGCATATGAAGTTTTTCTCTTGAACTTCTAAGAAGATTTTGTTTTATTTATCCATGCAGTTTCCTCTAGTTTCTAGAAGTGGAAAAATTCGGAAACTGTTGTTAGAAGCAAAGGATTCAAAGGTTTCGCGGATAAGTCTCCCAATTGTGCCAGGTGGAGCGGAGGCGTTTGAGCTTGCTGCTAAGTTCTGCTATGGAATTAATGTCGAGTTCACTCTCTCAAACATCGCTATGCTACGTTGTGTTGCCCTTTTTCTGGAAATGACTGAAGAATATGCTGAGAAAAACTTGGAGACTCGAGCTGAAGCATATCTAAAGGAGACAGTGCTGCCAAACATTTCAAGCTCAATATCTGTTCTTCATCGTTGTGAAGTACTTTTGCCTATATCGGAAGAGATCAACCTTGTTAGCAGGTTAATCAATGCAATAGCAAATAATGCCTGCAAAGAGCAGCTCACCTCTGGCTTGCTAAAACTTGACCACAATTTTCCTTCTAAAACCATCTCAAGCATGGAACCAGAAACACCCTCAGATTGGTGGGGAAAATCTCTCAATGCTCTTAACCTCGATTTCTTCCAACGAGTCCTTTCTGCAATGAAATCAAAGGGACTAAAACAGGACATGATCAGCAAGATTCTGATAAACTATGCACATAATTCTCTTCAGGGGATTATTGTTAGGGACCCTAAAGTGGTGAAAGGAAGTTCATTGGACTTGGAATTGCAGAAGAAACAAAGGGTCATTGTTGAAGCCATAGTTGGTTTACTTCCAACTCAGTCAAGGAAGAGTCCAGTTCCGATGGCATTTCTATCAAGTTTGCTGAAAGCTGCAATAGCAGCATCAGCATCTACTTCTTGTAGGTCTGATCTGGAGAGGAGGATGGGTCTTCAACTTGATCAGGCCATTCTTGAAGACATCCTAATTCCTGCCACCTCAAGTTTGAATTCCCACTGTACAATGTATGACACTGATTCAATTCTGAGGATCTTTTCCATTTTTCTAAACTTGGATGAGGAAGACGAGGATGATAGTCACTTGAGAGATGAGAGTGAGATGGTATATGACTTTTATAGCCCCGGATCTCCAAAACAAAGCTCAATTCTGAAGGTGTCCAAGTTGTTAGACAATTATCTTGCTGAAATAGCATTAGACTCAAATTTATTGCCGTCGAAGTTCATAGCACTAGCAGAATTACTCCCAGATCATGCGCGTATTGTAAGCGATGGACTCTATAGAGCTGTTGATATCTTCCTAAAGGTCAGTATCCCATCTCTCCCTCTCTCTCTACTGTTCCATTATAAGTTCCAAGTACTTCTGGAGTATATTACCATTTGTTTATTTTCTTACAGGTTCATCCAAACATGAAAGACTCAGAGCGCTACCGGCTTTGCAAAACCATTGACTGCCAAAAACTGTCCCAAGAAGCTTGCAGCCATGCAGCTCAGAATGAAAGGCTTCCAGTGCAAATGGCAGTCCAAGTTTTGTACTTTGAGCAAATAAGGCTAAGAAACGCCATGAATGGGGGACACAACCAGTTATTCTTTGCAGGTTTCAATGGTCAGTTTCCTCAACGTTCAGGAAGTGGTGCTGCAAGTGGAGCCATTTCCCCAAGAGATAACTATGCATCAGTGAGAAGAGAGAACAGAGAGCTGAAGCTTGAAGTTGCAAGAATGAGAATGAGACTGACTGACTTGGAGAAAGATCACGTGTCCATGAAGCAAGAGCTTGTGAGGTCTCATCCTGCCAATAAGCTATTCAAGTCATTTACAAAAAAGCTTAGCAAGCTCAATGCGTTGTTTCGGATGAACAATATTAAGCCGATTGGAGCGAAAGCTAGCGCTGACAATCGATTTCCTTTTCAAAAGAGAAGGCGTCACTCAGTTTCATGATCATGAATGTATAATATAAATATGTATGTCAGAATTGATGTATAGTATGCGTAGCGTGATTTCGTGTTTATTTTCCAGTCGATTGTTTGAATTTTGGCGCTGAGTTCGTTGTGTTCAAATGGCATCATCAACCAAACATGTGGGCTGGATTATTTGAGAGTGGATGCTTAATGAAGTAGTGTCCTCTGATTGAGAATTTTGACATTACTTAGTATATAAATCCTAACGGTACAGTTGTCACGCCTTAGACGCAAAAATGATATTAAAAAATATCAATTTCATGAATGGATAATAATTAAATGACAAGGACATGATTATGATATCCAAATAGCTCAAGTTAGTGCGTTCATTCTTTATAGTTTTACATATCAAAGGATCCATTTAGATGTAATAGCCAGTATATTTATTCATTAACTTCCTTTCTTTTTTTAATGGTAAGATAGGTTTAATATAAATTGCCTCAAACTTTTCTCTATAAGATTGTCAATATTTCAATCAAATTACATCTATTTAAATTAAGCATTTCAACTTTCCCGTGCAATGTACGGTGTGTTTAATCTAGTTACTTAGATAGTATATAAAGCTGATTCTCTTTCTTAGACATTAAAGATTTGAAGTTTTAGTTTTCCTTTTTTAAATGAGGAATTGTGACATAAATAGATTCTCAAAATAATATCAATATTTATAGAAAACTTGAACTTCGTTCTTGTAAACACATAAAATTTAAAGATACTGTGTTCTATTTGAAAAGAAAAATTGATTTAAATGAAAGATATAGTGCATCCTTAAACTTACATTCATATTAACGTCGAAACAATTTCAATTTGGAAACTGTAGGAATAATGAATACTAAACTAAATCAAATAAATTAAAATGATACCAACAAATGACTCCGTGGCCCAATGGATAAGGCGCTGGTCTACGGATCCAGAGATTCTGGGTTCGATCCCCAGCGGAGTCGCTTAATGTTTTGGTTTTTTGTACTTCCATAAAGAATTGGACAGCGCCGTTTCCCGTTTGACCTGAATTGGGCATACACACGACACCGTCTGGCCCTAATAATTTTATGCAATCAGTGTCCGGAATCGTAATTTCAGTTAAATTGTGCGTTGTATTTAAAAATACAAAAAATTCATTATGTAGATATTCCAAGTTTTTTATTGGCAAAGAGGAAAAACTTTTCGAGAGGGGAATATTTTAATCAGAGATGTCATAATTTACGTATTAATGAAATTTTAAGAGGCCTCACATTGATTTGTGGAAAATCTATTGATCAACTTGAGAAAGAACCAAACACGTGTATATTTTATACATCAACATCTGAGTCTGACCTGCTTTTGTGACATACATGCATGCATATAATTGAAGCTTTCGGTGATTTTGTCTGCTTTAAGCTACAAGGAAACCGTGTTCCTTGATCTGGATTCCAAAAACTTCAGACCTCAAAATATTTGTCTTAATTATGAGTCAACTTAACTTTGCTTATTGGTTTATTTTTTAGTGTACAAAATATGTGATCCATTCCATTTAACCACGCTTAAAATGCTATTCCCAACTAAATTAAGCAGCAAAACAAACAGATATATTCCCAATGAACATGAAAGCTAAGCCTTGCTTTGTGCAGAAGACTAATTTTAAGTTGGTTCAATTGAAAAGGATGGTTTAGCATATTCGTTAAGCGAAGCAGTACAGAATAGAAACGTTAGTGCAAGGGCAGTTCTTGGCATCACATAAAGTGATAGTGCGGGACCAATATAAATGAATCGATTCTCGGAAAAGTTCTTGCGATCCATGTTCATGTCCTTTTTTTTTTTTTTTGGTCCTACTTTCCTGTGTTCTTAGGATATCCCACGTATAAATTCATGTTTTCCATTTGAAACACTTGTGTATTACTTAGTAGCCGAAAGAACAGTTGTACTAGTGAAGAAAGTTTAAGGCGCAGTACATATATAGCAGAGCATCTTCATTCTTCACCACGCATGTGGTATCGAATTTTACATGATTGGACTAGCTTCTTTTATTAATCACTACTATTTGGATGGACCTGACCTTCATCATTTAAGACTAAACTTAAATCCTCACTACACTACAATCGAATCAAGTTCAGTCTAGATGTCCTCAGGTTTGATTCTTTCATTAAATAACTTGAGAGCGAGTGTGTGTATGTATACATATAAGAATCCACTCATGTTTTTAGTTTCATTTTAGTCATTGGCTCACTGCTGACAAGACTTTTAAACTGAAACATTTTGTTTTCAGACGATCAAACGTAGTGGAATATTCTGAAATACATACACAGGTATTACATGTCTTATACTGTGAAGCGTACACTAGATTAACTCTAATGACAGCACGCCAATTTAATACTTGCGTGGGGATTGTGTGCATATATACCGGATTTCTTGAAGTATTATTTTAATTTATACACTGCATCAATATGATAATCTGGGAATCATCATGCATGACTGAAACAACCCACCTCAATACATAAAATTCGCACTAAACTGAGTCATCATTTGACAAGTTTCTCAAGCAACATGGTACAATGCTGCCTCAGAAGAAAAAGTAGAGCACCAAGGAGCTCTATACAATAACAAGGAGCAAAACACGAAAATATGAAAAGCTACGTAGTAAGGAGATTAGAAAGTGGTTATTTGAAATCTGAAGAGATAGCTAGCGAGCCCAGATGAAGATAGCTTTAGCACCTAGAAGCAACTGGCCAAGCTTGTTCTGAACATTGAGGCTGATTACTTCATTAGCACCTCCTATGAATTGCTGACCTATGAACACAGCAGGAACACTTGGTCTGCAACCTAACTGCATGAGAGCTCTCTCTATGTGTTGCCCATTAGACAACTTGTCAACCTCTATCACAGTAGGGTTTGCCCCGAAGCTACATATCAAAGCCTTCACTGTATGGCTCATGCAGCAACTGCTTTTACTGAAAATCACCACTGGCTTGTCTGCAATCAACCTCGTCACCATTTCCATTGCTGATTGATTATGGTAGAGATAATAGATGGGTAGGTTTAGGCTTCACTTTGAGTTTGGTTTGTGTTGTTGAGGTGATCAGAAGCTGGTCTATTTATATTAGCTCACTGGTTGATGGAATTGGATAGTTTGCTCCACAGGAAAACATATTCAAGAGAATAAACTCTTTTCATTGCTTGATTCCCAACTTGACCTTTATGGTAATCCCTCCTTTAGCTTTTTCCAGTTTCACAATGAATCTGACCCTATATGTTGGCTATGTAAAGGTTAGCTAGCTCTGTCATTTGCCATTATAAGAACATGTTTACGACATACTGGTTTAGTATGCTATGCCCAAATTTATTGTTCATCATTGAATGCATGCGAATAATCACTGATAGCATTTGTTCTGCTTTCACATAAAAACAGAACTGTTTGGGGAGCATCTGAAAAGTGAGACAGAAGTCTGGGATTACCCAATTAGTGCCCTGTAGCAACTTTTCATCTCTTGGCAAAATTCGCATCAAGTTCAAATCCCAAATTCTGAAAACTAAAGAAGATGCTAATTTAAAGGCAATTAAACCCTGCCCCCCCTTTTTTTTAATTTATTTCTCTTATTTCCTCTTTTGGGTTGCTCTGGCCTTTTTTTTTTTTTTTTTAACCATAGAAATCCGCTTGAGGGCACTGGAATAGGAACGAGACAAAGGCTCCATTTTTTCCCTCCGCCCATTGTATTGATCAAGGAAGATGCTCTGTACTAAAAGCATAAGATTTATGATCAGCAAATTAAATAAAAACGTTTTCTCAAGCCTCTGGTGCCTTCCTCTTTTTGTGTAATTTTGTCCACTCCATTTTCTGTTCATGTCATGTCTTCAATCTGTAGTTGCAACTGATGTTTATACAAAATTATGTTAAAACCTTTTTAACCTAGGATATGGTAGAAAATTAAGATTTGCAACTTGCAAGATAAGGATCACAAGTAACGACCCTTTCTTGGTCATCTTTTGTTGACATGCAAAAGTCTAAAAGATATCGACAAAATTTTGTTTTGCAAGTCACACCGAATGAAAAATGTGAAAAACCAGTAATTTATCCAGATCAGTAGAGTCTCAATATGATTTATGGAAATCAGTTGATTTATTAAAAAAGAAAACTGCTTTTGGTGATTTTCACCCATTGTTCAGTTTTAAAATAACGTTGGATAAAAATTAAATTGTCACCCATACTATGTCAGCAATTTCATTGTTTCAGCAGTAAAAGTAGGGAGAAAAAAAAAAAAAGAGATTCCTAGCTTTAGATCACAGAAAGAATTCATGATATAATCTCTCATCCGGTAAGCATCCAATGAGATTTTATTTTTTGCTTTTGAAGGAATTTCTCTGCACAACATGGAAAATAAAATGTTCATATACGGACAATGTTAAGGTAGTGTTGTTACCACAGAATTTTCCACGTGCCTGCAGCTTAGGAAGGAACCCTAGTTGACCCCTCATCCCAAATTCTGTTGTCTGCTGTGTTGATTCTCACAATAAAAATGGCTCAACCTTGAGGCCAGGGGTCAGTTGACTTCGATATCCCTTTATCCTCATTACATTTTCATTAAAATTATTAAAGCAACAAATTCACAAAATGAAACATTAAAAAATATAAGGTAAAGCGTGAAATAACTCATTAGACGTCCAATCTCTTTCTGAGTTATATTAGTTTTCTTTTCTCCCCTTCTGATTTTATAACTCACTACAAAACATGATATATTTTTCATATGGTCATGACAAAGTTTCATAGATCATGCATCAGTGAAGAAGGAAATATGTGTGTGTATATATATATATAGATATAGATATATTGGCGTGAAACAGAAGCTTCATATTTTCTTTATTACAGCTTTTATGGCCGATAATCTCTCACAATCTATTATCACATAGAGGAAGTTTCCTTTCTCTTCATCTCTAAATCATCATCCCAGTAAGAAGTGGAATATTCTGTTGCTAAATAGTTATCTAACGTGGGATCTCCTATATTGACTTAAATTCATTTACACTTGCACAACCTAACCATATATATTGAAGAGCAGTGTTAGCACTTCTTTTGAGAAATAATCAGCTGGAAGAGCATACTCATTTAGATTGATTACAAGAGTACAGGCATAAATATTTCACTGTATCAGTTCTTGGAGTGGAACTTCAGTAGTCAGTTTGTTGCCATGACGTAGGAATGTTTACATGAAGCATCAAGGCTGTCTAGCTATGAGAGATGGTTTTTAGTACTCTATTTCTAGTACAACTCATTACAATATCCTCTTGTCATGATTTTTTAAAGAAAGATACCATGAAATTAATTGTGTGGTTTTAAATATTTTTTCCTTTTGAAATTCATAAAAATACAAAATTGTATTGTTTTATGAGCTAATTATCGAAGAGAAAAAAATTGGGAAGGTAGGGTACTTCCGAAAGTATTAGAAGTTTGGGGTATTGGAGGCTTCAAACCAGCAAAATGACGAAAGAGACAACAAAAAGAGATTCCTTATTAGCCTTGATTACAGAAAGATCAATCGAACAAGATCTTAGTTTATCTCTTGAAGCCATTGCATTGCATGACAACATTAAAACAACATGTCCACGAGCCTGCAGGTTGGAAGCCCCCAATTTCCGTGGACTGTTCTATAAGTTCTCAAAAAATGGCTCAACATCAAAGCAATGGTTTTCACTTGTCTATTCCCTTGAATTTTATATTCAAAGCATCTGAAAATAATTGGCGGAAAAGAGAGAGAGAATGAAGACAAGAATGAAAGCACGAGGAGATGGTTTTTTCATTAATATATTAGAAGTAAAAGATGAAATGGAAAGGGAGTGAAGGACAAAAAATTAACCAGAGAAGAAACAGCAAGAACGTTTGCTAGGTCTCTTAAAGTCGTGGTATATATTTAAACAAGTAATACAATGATGAGTGACATACGGGCATGTACTGCCTAGCTAGAAGCAAAACATCAAAGTAAAGGCTAGTTTAGGCTCTATAATGATAGACAAGACAAGAGCCTGGATTTCTACGAATCATTTTTTGGCGTCCAAATCCAAATGGCTCTGGCATTCAAGAGCAGAGTTGGTAACTCGTTGCGGACATGGAGGCTCATGATTTGGTGGGCACCGCCAATGAATTTTTGGCCAATGAACACAGCAGGTACACTTGGTTGAGTTCCCAATTGGAGCAATTCCGTCTCTATCTGCTTCCCATTGCTAATTTGGTCAATCTCATACACGGTGGGATTAGCCCCAAAACTGCATATCAGTGACTTGATGGAGAAGCTCAGGCAACAGCTGCTCTTGCTGAATATCACCACTGGCTTTTCTGCTACCATCCTCGTAACTGTGTCCATCAACGCATGTGAAGGCTTGTCAGCTTCGCTGGCTGTGTCATGAGTGGAAACTGAGCTTCACAGGCGATCTATTTATATGCATGGTGGCTCATATCAATCGAATGGTGACTGGAGTGGAATAAACAAGAATATGATCGGATAAGAAAATTCTCGAAAACAAGCGACCTTTTGGTCTGTGCTCATGTGTTGTGGTGTGGCCGTAGGGCTCACAAGTTGCCCAATTTTTTTCGTTCAATCTAACCAGTGCAAAGCTTTCTTGGAGAATAATTAGATTCACGGTCGTGCAATCATGCATTTATCTTCCTATACTAAATCTTATCACTATGATATTTTCTCTCTCTGTTGGCTTTTTTTTTTTTAATATCTTAAGAGAAGCTATGACAAAATTGTGAAAAAATGGTTTCTCACGGTATTTTATCTCAAACAAAAGAAAGGAGAGAAACAAATTGTAAGAAAATTTATTTATGCTCAGAAAATTCTGAGAGAAAATCCTTTTTCTAAATTTCAGAGAAAAAAAAGTATTCCTCTCTGAGCAAAATTTAAGGAAAAATATTTTTATTTTTTTAAAGTTTCTTATAGATATAATATAACCGTGACCCAATATTTAATTTGTTTTATACTATATATCTTGGCTATGAATGCCTCTTCTTGGTAATCCACTAATGATAAGCCGCTTTGAATACTTCCTGATGGTAATGTATTGTAGAATTCAAAATTTCAAATGCTTAAATAGCCATTTCATCAAGTGTCCACAACAGTATAGACGTGAAAATATGGGCCAGGAAAAGACTATGGGATGGGATCGATGGGCTAGCCTGTTTCTTCTAGGGTTATAATTCCAAGAGGTCGATCCCCTTGACAAGCCAAGAGGTCAATCAACAAAGGTTGATTATTTTGTGGTCCATAATTTATAAGATTGTGATCAAATTTGATAATTGATATAAAGATTTTTTTAATAAATAATTTGTAAATATTTTTGCAAGTATTCTTTAAATTTAGAGAAAAGTCTTGTCCTAATAGGCCCTCAAAATTCAACTTACTTTACTTTTTTTTATCTTAAAAAAGCTAATAGGACAAGAAGTTAGCCCTCGACAATCTTTTGTATTAATTTTTTTATTTAAATTCATATAATTCATACATATATAAAGCCTTGATCCTGATGAGTCTTTAGGACTCAATTCACCTTAATTTTTCACTTTAAAAAAAGTATTTAAGTTGATGCAACTCATACTAATAAAAAAGGAATGAAGGATAATATATATATATATATATATATATGTTTGAATCTTCACTTAAATTCATACCATGATTCATTCAAAATACTAATATTATGAACATAAGACTAGCTATTAAATTGGTCAAGGTATTGATACACCATTCAATAATAGGATCACAGTCTAAACTGTGGTCACTAATCATAAATAAATTAATTTATTTTAAATATTATATATTTAAAGTAGCAAGAAATGATCATATATAGTAAGAAAAATGAATATTTAAATTTCAAACAAAATAATAGACAATAAAAAAAGATAATATCTATCAATATTACATCATTTTCATCTATATAATTATTTCATAATTTATAATTTATAACTTTAAAATATATACATATATACATAATTCACACATATTTCTTACATTTTTTTTTCATTTCATAATACTTATTAGGCATAAATATGTGTAAATTATAATTTTAAAATATGAACTTAAAATAAAAATAAAAAACTAACTTATTCAGTTCAACCAGTTTGTTGCCAGTTTTGGCCGGTTTAATTGGTTCATGGAGGGTTCGTAGAATGATTAATTTTTTTGTCATAGTTGGACCAGACCTATGATTGATTTTTAGTTCAACTAGTCAAATTAGTTAGTCCGATCTAGTTTTGATGACACTGTAAAATACCAACAAGTCTTTCATGTGTGCGCGCACGCGCGGGTAAATGTATATATAATGCACAACTCAAAAATGATATTTTAATGGGATAAGAACAATGTATATGACGTATTATCAAAACAGATATAGCAATTTGAAATTTCATTGCAAGATATTGGGCTTGAATTGAAATAAACTTGTAGAATAAAATAACCAAAATATCTTTCTTATAATATGTCGCAACATAACATAAGAAAATTAACAAGTAAAGCTTTTAACAAGTTATATGGTTTATTTACAAATTATACTAATAGCTTGATAAGTAATGAATTTAACTCGTCACATGAACTTCACAAGTAAAGTAATGGTTGACAAATAATGTAAATAAATAAATAAAGTTAAAGAATTAACAAGTCTTTTCTTTTTAAGGATTAACAATCATATTAACTAGAACACACTAGACATAACAAGTAACACAAGAGAATTAATAAGTAAAGTTATGATTTTAACACGTAATGTAGATGATTTTATTAGTTATGGTAACGGTTTAACGAGTAACAGATTTAAATTGCTGATTTCATCACTTATGATAACGGTTTAACAAGTAACGGATTCAAATCACTACATGGACTTATACTGTTAATTAACCACGTTAATTGTTAAATGCTTTACTTTACTTATGAATTCCCTTGTAGCTCGTCACTACAACATATTGAAAAGGATATTTTGATCGTTTTATTTTTGAATTTTATGTCAATTTAAGTCCAGCGTCCTGCAATGAAATTACATCAGGTCCAGGGTCGTAGGATGAAATTCTCCCTATTTTAATCATGCATGCTCATGTTTCAAAATATAATAGGCTCTGATATATATGTGTTTTCCGAGTTCATCATTTCTTGGCCAAACGTCAAGGGCTGTGCACTAATCATGTTATACCGTGAACAAGAAAATTCATACTCATGCAGCGTTGCTTTTCCGCAGAGCAGAGCAAACATATATATTCAGGTGCAAGAAATGGCCAGCTTAATTATGTAGCCGCATCAAATTTAGTCCGTCTATATTTCGACGAGAGGAATATGTGTGTGTGTGTGTGAGTGTGAGGTAACAGTAGTCGAGAAAAGGGAGAAGACAGCGTTGAAAAAGAGATGAAACGAATATATATGATCAATGTAAAATGTAGTGGTGGTGGGTGTACTGTGACTGAGCATAAAATAACTTATATCAGGTACCCCTTTCTCCCGTGCCTTGCACAAGCACGGTTCATTAAGCGTGTGCGTGCACTGATGAGTTCTTTCGCATGGACGTGTGTGTAGAACGCGCAACTTTTCGTGTGCATGCACGCGCATTTTTACGTACTCTCAATCCATGATGTGTTGGATAGGAATATTATATTGTACTCTCAAGCAAAATTGTTGCATCTGTTGCGTGTTAATTTTAATTTGTGCATTCAGTATCGTATCATGTGTGTGTGCGTGGGTGTGTTTCATGTTTGTGGTAGGTTAATTGATGCCTTGTGAAGCGTGTTTGATAAATAAAGTAAAATGCGAGAGGGATATTTTAGCATAATGCAGGTCAGCTATCCATGTCAGCAAATGTAGTCATTATTTCAGCAGTAGTAGTGGACGAACGAAAACGCAGAGAACAAAGGAAGATATTCCGACCGAAAGAGTTTCTGATATAATCTCTTATCGTCTCTGCGTCCAATGATATTATTTGTTACCTTTCCACGTGCCTTCAGCTTGGGGAGGAACCCTTGTTATTCCAAATTCCGTTGTCTGTTTCTGTCAATTCACACAGCAAAACGTGTAAAAAAAAAAAATTGGAATATGTATGGTAAAACATCAGAAATTAAAACAAGTTGACAGAGATCTTAACTGTGTTGTCTTTGGTGTACGTTATGCTCCATATCCAATCTCTTTCTGGGATGTCATTATTATTTTCCCCTTCTGATTATATAACAATTCATTACAAAAAAACATCATCTTGCAAGTATGGCTAGCTGCGCCCCATATAGATCCAATCTCTTTCATAACAGGCGCTTCATAGTTTCTTTGTTTGTTACGTATATTTCATGGCTGATCGATCATACGTAGTCATCTATTATTATGTAGGAACTTTGCTTTATTCTTCAACCATGTGTCATGATTATGCAGTTAAAGGTCCTTTCACTTTCCTGGCCACCGAGTTAATGATCATTAGAAAACCAAAATTTCATGCATGTACCTTGGAGTGGAATCTTATTACCCATTACACTCACAAAGTCACAAAGAGTGGCGGAGCTAGGATCTTGGAGCAAAGAGGACGGGGCCAAAACTTTGGTATAAGAAAAACCTTTCTATTTCTTTCAAATATACTATTTCTCCTTTTTTTCTTTTTCTTTGTCTTTGTTTCTTAATTCAACCTTCAATTACAAACTTGCAAATGCAGCATGCTGGCAAAAAACATTCAATGAGTTTACTTTTGAGTCTTCAATCTTTATTCTCTATTCTCTTTTTCTTAAGTAGTTCTTGACTAATATTTTCAAGATGAGGACAACATGGGTCTAATTTGGTCAAATTAATTTTTTAAATTTTTTAAAAGACTAATACATAATAATGATATTTAGGTATAGTGAAACCATGAGCTAATATTCACTAGGTTTTGAGGTTAAAAAATTAAATTTTAAATTGGGGCTAAATATAAGATTGAAATGGGTTTAAAGTTTAAAATATTAAAATAAGGCATGTAAAGTATTAAAAAAAAGGAGGATCAAACTGTAAAATATAAAAATACATGCCCCGTGTTTAGTAGTTTTCTTATCAAAGGAGGGCTTTGCATGCAATGTAGCTCTCACAACCTTACTGAGTTAATCACCAAACAGGCCATCAAACATGATGGCGTTTACGTTCGTCGTCCTTTCATCCTGTGACACGTTGCAATTTGCAAATAATGATTTTGGTAGGAAGAGTTCATTGTGGGATTTTTTTTTTTTTTTTTGCCAAAGTCGACATCATGTAACTTGATCGCTAATACCATGGATCTTTTTTGGGGTTTCACTTTTCTCTCTTTGAGTTTGGGGGCATGATAGTGGAAGAAATTCTCGCACGAATTCAATGCACTATGTTATTCTCTAATAAAATTTTATATATTATTATTTTAATGGCTTTATTTTTGACTTTTTTTTTTGCCTTTTTTCTCTTCATCATTCTTAATGATGAAATAAATTTATATTTGCAACCATCTTACATAACATTTTTATTAGACAAATTATAAATAATGTAATGCACAGGGAAATGTTTTTTTTCTCTCTCTGCTTTTTTTTTTTCCAGTTTGGGTACCATGAAGCAACTTTTGTTCCCTTAATAAGATTCGCTTCAACTCCCAAATCCCCAAAGCTGAGTGGAAAAAACATGCTGATTTGAAGGTAATCAGTAGTCACCCTCTGCTTTTACGGTTGCTGTATGGCCCTTTCTACCATGAAAAAAGAAAAGAAAAGGGGGGCAATAAAAAGTTGATTTAATTGCCCTGGCCCGGAGCTGAGTGGAAACAGAAAGAAGTTCTTCCCCCCCCCCCCCCCCGGTGCTTATCATGTAGAGTAAAGAAGATACTGTTTACTAAGCCATGTTTGGACGAAGAAGTCATTTGTAGGGAAATAAAAAAGGACAAGGAGATGGAGGGGAAATGGAATTTCATAAAAATGTCATTTTTCAGCCAAAGATGTGTTTTCTTATTAAAAATTTTGATTTTTTATTAAGAGTTTGATAAGACATTAATCCTCACTTAAATACCCAAATTGAGTTTTCAAAGGCACTATTTAGAATACAAAAAATAAGGTTGGTATTTTTAAAAAATAAAAGTACCATATTTACATATTTTATAAAATTATTACCATTTTAAAAATTAAAATTAGAATGTTTTAAATGTATAACGTATTAATTTATTAATTTTTAAAATTGTTGTTAGTATTTTTTATATAATCATTCATATTTTTCAAAATTATAAAGTCAATATTTTTTTTCATAATAATCAAAATATCAAAAACTATTATTAAAAAAAAAGAGTGATGAGTTGAGGTTATTAGGGCAACACATTTTTTTTTTAATTTTACGATGTAAAGCTCACTTCTTAAAAACCCTAATAATGTATATACCAAACACTCAAGATGATAAAGCTTCTCTCGTTCTTCCCAAATAATGTGCATGCCAAATATGACCAAATTAATACCATACCGTTTCTATTTTGGAAAATATTGAAGATTTAGATTTGTGAGGAGTATCCTCCCTTGGTCAAAATCACCACTTTTATTATTATTATTTTGGGGGGGGGGGGGGCGCGGAGATCTTTTGTTGATCAAATGTCATGGGGAAGACTTATCAGGAAATTGTGTATCAAAGCAAAAGACTCAGATTAAAGAAAGATCAAAACCTATTTTACAGGTCAGTCTTTACTAGATGAGCAATGTAATAAGCTAGCAAACTTTGACCAGAAAGTTAAAACTTTGCTTTCGGTGACCTTTTCTCATTATTAATGTTAAAAATGGCGTTGGATAAGCATTAAATGGAATAGTAAAGCTCCATTTAGTTCATAGTGCAAGAGGTCTCCAGCAAACAATAGAGTGAAAAAGAGATTCCATGGACTTTGGACAGAGAAAGATCAGTTCGGCTTAGAATCTCTTATCAGCTATATGCATCCAAATTAAATAAGATCTTACTTTATCTTTTGAAGCCATTATATTGCACTGCATGATATCAAAATAACATGTTCACCTGCAGACAATAGTTTTGTACGTAATGTTGTATAGCCACAGAACTTTCCACGTATTCCTCAACTCTGTTGTCTATGTGCTGTCATTTCTCATAAAACAACTCACCTTTAAAGCAAATTAGAGGCTTCGCTTGTTTGTTCAATTCAGTTATCTGAAGCATCGAATCATGGCGGATTGCTTCTCTTCAGCAGACTGCAGAATCAATTAATTAAACACAGGTGTGATTGAAATATCAGAATTCTAACAATAACAATAAGAACTAAGATGGACAATGATGAGAATTAAATCAGAGAGATGAAACACCAAGCATGCAGCTCTTGTTGTATATGGTTATGAGTAGTACAATTATAGGTGGTGGCTTGAATTTATGGCCCAGCAAGAAGATGCAAAACATAAAAGTACATACAAGCTAGTTCAGGCTCTATAGAACACAGAACACTGATTCTCGTTCTTGTGAGAACTGGATAGAGAAACATGCTTATGCCTAAAATCTATAACGTTCAAAATGACACTACAAACTGGATTTCCGGGGATCACTTTTTGTTCCAAATCCAAATGGCTTTGGCATTCATGAGCAGAGTCACTAACTCGTTCCGGACATGGAGACTCATGATATGGTTGGCACCACCAATGAACTTTTGGCCTATGAACACAGCAGGTACACTTGGTTGACATCCCAATTCAATCAATTCCCTTTCTATCTGCATCCCATTGCTTATTTGATCGATCTCATACACAGTGGCATGAGCCCCAAAACCGCTTATGAGTGACTTGATGGAGTAGCTCAAGCAACAGCTGGTCTTGCTGAATATTACCACTGGCTTCTCTGCTACCATGCTTGTGATTAAGTCCATCGCATGTGCTACGTGCAACCTAAGTTTAGCTTATAGATATGTGAAGAGTTGTGAGGTTTGGCTGTGTCATGTGTGGAGGCTGAGCTTTGTCAATGGTCTATTTATATGGTGAGGATTAATTGGAGAGGAGAAAGAACAAGATCGGATATGGGAAATTTTCAGAAAATACTGGAACCTTTTAGGCCTGCACTGTGCTTTTTGCGGATGACAAGGTTTTTTTTTTTTTTTTGGTTCATTCCAATGAGTCCACAACTTTCTTGGAGAATAAGATTCATGGTCGTGCAATGAGGCATTTATTTTGTCTATACCAAATCTTATTGCCATGAGATAGATTTTTAGAACACGTAAACGATTTCGATGTGCTGCTATATACTACTAATAATTGGGCTTTCTGCGTTTCTTCCACGTCAGTGTTTTGGAACATTAACGTGGTACTATATATACTAAGCAACTTTTTATTCATCATGAGATTCGCAATCCTAAATATTTCAACTAAGAAAAAAACGAGAGAAAAAGGGAAATTTTGGTAGTAATAAGCATGCTTTTCTCATGTGCTGCACGTAATTTTAGAAATAAATTTATACTTTTTAAGACTTATGAATAATATAATTTATTATAAATGTTACTATATATATATATATATATACTCTCAAACCGTATGTGTTTTTTCACTTCTCCATACCCCAACACACTTTATGCTTAGCTATTCAACAAAGCATTGATTCGGGATTTCACATTTTCTGATTAGACATTAGTGTTTTTGAAAATTGAAGAAATATCGTTTTATTGTCACATTATATAAATCCACTTTTAACCATATGTGGAATGAACTTTAGAAAAATACTCCCATCTATATTCTTTGGAAAAATTGCACACAAGGACCATTCACAAACAAAGATCAATGAGGAATTGGTTGTTGTCAAAATGGAAATTGACTTGTTTTTTCACGAACGGTGATTTATGTAACATCTTGAAATTTTAATCCGAGGAACCAATTACTAAATGAAGGGGAAATTAATAATTTAATGAATTAATTAGATAATCAGGATTTTGGTTGGCAATTTGAGATTTTGACTTTTTGGGTTGTTGAATAGATAAGATTGAGTGAATGAACGGTATTTCAGAGTGAAATGTGTGAGCACAGTGAAATTTTCTTTACTATGCCACATGCTGCGTCATATGCTTTATATGTTGTGGTGCATGGCACAGAAAATGTTAAAGGCTTGTGAATCAGCTCGTGGATTAAAGAAGGAAAAAGGGAAAAGAGATACAATGGAGGAGAAGAGAGGGAGTTATGCTAAGGCAAGGAAATTTGAAGCCTTGGGAGATATTTTCAACTTGTCACTTATTGGATAAATTTCATACTGTCCTCAACTTCTGTTTTACACTAATTTTTTAGTTTGAATTATAGAGAAATTGAACTGAAAAATTTTAAGGGATTATTTTCTCATTCTTTTGTAATAAAAAGACTCTTTGGAGATGAATTAAGATTTTGCAACTATTAAGTTTTGAAGTTATAGGCTTAATTTAACCTAAAATAATAGATCAAAAAGGCTGAAAGTTTGATAATAAGTGTATTAGGGCTTGAAAAAGTGATAAGAGGACTTAGTAGGGTGACAAAAAACTTAAGATGAGTAAATGAAAGTATTTGAACACTTAATTGTGGCAATTAATATTTTTAGTTAGTTTGATAATTAACTTAGAGTGCTAATTTGTGTAGATTTTAGTAAATTTGTATGTTGATTAAATGAAAGAAATTTGAGAGAGGCTTTAATGCCACAAGTAACCTTTCTACGTATAGAAAAATTGAAATAACCGGATAATTTATTATGCCTATTAATTAGTTTAATTGTTTATAAGTGGATGTGATATTATAATCTTTGGTATAATAATTGATATGTTTTTTGTAATTTGCATCTTTTTAGTATTCAAATGAGTTTAACATTCATTTAAAGTATTTACTTATGGTTTTAAAAGGAAATTGAGTATATATATGTATATAATGTGTGAAAATGTGCAAATGTGATTTTGTGTAGGTGGGTGGGGGCGGTGTGCATGCGTGTGTGTGTGTGATAGAATATTTTTGGTCGGATGTTTCTACCACTGAAAGTATGTTTGGATCAATAAGTGATTATTCTAATAGAGTCTATGGGTTCGGTCGAGGAGCTTGGATGTTTGATGGATAGATGATCATGTAAGTAAGTTATGGGTTCAGTCGAGGAGCTTGGATGTTTGATGGATAGATGATCATGTAAGTAAGTTATGGGTTCAGTCGAGGAGCTTAGATGTTTGGTGGATAGATAATTATGCAAGTTATTAATTTTTGTGAAAATCATTTTATTATGTATATATATTTACATGCTTATAGGTTTATTGATTTCAAATATGAAATAATGGTTTTGTTTACTTAGTTAGAGTTAGTCTTGTTAGTAGACATTTAATGAGTTGTCTTGGTTATTGAAATTTTTATTTCACTCGTTGTTACCATTTTATTTACAGGTTCTAACATTGGGAGTTGAAAAGGGAAAGAATCGGGCCAAGATTATTGGATCTCTTATTAGCCCATTAAGGCTAGTGTAATGAATTTGTTTTGTTATAGATAATGCATTATATATAAGTTGCCATAGGATAGCTCATGCATATAAAAGAGATATTGTGTGTGTGTGTATTTAGATAACCTGGCCTTGTAGTATGTATATTTGTGTTTTGTGATTAATACTCTAATTAAGGGCTAAGATACATTTACAAGTGCAAATGTATATATGCGTTTGTTGTGAAAGTATGTGAAGTTTGGCCAAGTGTGATATATGTGTGTGTGAATGTGTAAATTTGTCTACGTGTGTGAAAGGGCAGTTTAACGGTCAAACTCGTCCGTACATGTGCGTGTGATATTATTTATATAACTGGTCAAGTAGATGTTAAATGTTTTATTGGATGTAATCAAGGTCCTAGAAGTGGTCAATGAAACTTGGTTTGAAATTCGAGCGCTTTGGTGAGCAAAAATGACTTAAAAAAGTTTTTTTGTATTTTGGTGTCTAATTTTCAAATGAAATATTAGATTTGAATGAAACTAACGCCATTAGCTAGATTTTAAAATAAGCTTTGTATAAGTGTTTGAATCACTTTAATTGAATATCATACTAAAAAACAACCTAATTTAAAAGTTTGTATCAAAAGTGCTGTTCAACAGTAAAAATTTGATACGTGCGTAGAATGAAAGTGGTGGCTTTATACCATATGCCACGGCATATGGCTTAATATAGTCCAAAATTGTCATTTCGCTTATTTTTTTTTCTTGTGCTTTGCATATGAAATGTTCATGCTTCCGTTGTGTGTGTAAAACTTTTAACCCATTTGAAATGGCTTAAAAAAAAAATTATTTGGGGATTCCAATTTAATTATGGTTTTCAGTTTTTAAGGTAAGTGTGAATTAGCGTGTTGATATGTAATGTCATTGTCATATTATAACTTGTTATTGATCTTTATTTGCAAATCATACATTTTAATGGTTCTTGTATGCGATTTTCTCAATTTTGTTTTCACCCAAAACAAAATTTAGCTAAAAGCCCAATGTAATGTACCAAACAAGCCTTTACATGAAGCCCACCGCTAGCCACTAAATTTTATAATATCAAAATCCTGAAATATAATTCTTCCTTAAAGAAAACGCCTGTGGAAAATTAAACGTCATTTTAAAAAAACGGCTCAGGCCACAAAGCCTCACACGGAGGCTTGGTCTAGTCGAGTTACTTCGACAAGAGGAATACATGGTGAAAGACGTAGAGAAAGGAGACAACGATGGGAGGACATGAAACGAATATATGAAAAAATCAAAATGCGGTTGGCGGCGGCGGCGGATACCGGTGAGGACCACCAAATAAGGGAACGAAGTCGGTTCTCCACACACTGGATGATTAGCTCAAATAGTGCACTTAGACACTACCACTCTCTCTTCGCTTGTTGCAACCAAGATTTGTGTTCTTCCACTTTGACTCTTTCTCTATATGCCAGGCAGCATGTAGAATCACTTCACAATTCTCCACAGCGACGCAAGGTTACATATTTCAAACAGATGATTGATGACGTTTTCTGCAGCCCAAAATGTGATATTATGTTTGGCCTTTGCATTTTAGCTTCATCACCATGATCATATACCATCTACACTGGATTCTTCAGGTGGAACCTTCCTTTGTGTTGTTTGCTTTTTAAGTCCCGATCATGCGGTTCCACGTGACAGACTTTAAACGCGAATGCTAATGGCGAATCTGACACTAATATCACTGATCCGTCACTTGAATGAGAACAAGTTATACGATGTTTGAGCTACTTGAATTGGCTGGATTGAGAGTTTCATCGTTGATTTAATGAATACATTGCACACTGGGAAGCACAGTACATAACTGTACAGTTATACCCATTTGGGATTCAGTGGTTCCAATTTCAAGCATAAATTGTTCAGCTTAAAGCCTAAAAGCTTAACCATAAATGAAGTCACGCATAACAGGATCCTCATGGTATACCTAGTTGATCGGGTCTGGAACCAAAGAATTGTAATGCTCGCCTAGTCCAAAAGCATGCTTATGGTATGACAGCATGATACTCGAGTCTGAGGAATCAGCGATGCCTTGAGATTTGTACTCTTTCCCCATCTCAACGTCTGGGAAGGAGCCCGAAAATATCATAATATGCCTTTTCAGGCAGTGAGTCAAGGCGCCTAGCTCTAGTTGTCCGCCCCATATTGCTGTTGACTCCACCTCTTTACAGTAATTTTCAAACTTCTGGGTAAGCGATTCATCAGGATCACCTTCTACCAGATTCTCTGACAGGAAAAATGGAAGAAAATCAGATGCATGCTCTCTCATATATTCCGCCGCCATTTCTCTAAGTTCTTGGTATGTATAAGGAGATGCACCCCCTGAGAGGAGGGCCAGCTGATCCTCAACAGCTCTATATAGGCAATGCCCGTCTGGCTTTATTTCACTGACAGTCAAGCCAAGAGGCTTCAGCTTTTTTTCCAACTTCTCGTTTTCAACCATACGATCACTGACAATGTCACTCTGCTCAGCTTGGATTCTTTGCTCCCTTTCTGCTTCCTGTTGAGCCCTTCGGTCTCGCCTCTGTTTGGCCTTGCTGACCTTTGAATGATCGGGTTGACTGGTAACTGAGACTCCAGCTATGGCCTTCACCAAACTGTCCAAACTGCTCTTTTCATTTCCATTACTACTGCCAAAGCCTAATGTAGAGAGTTCGTCCGCATGCTTCTCTTTAAGCTTGGCAGAAAGTTGAGCAATCTGTTCCTCCACTTGCTTCTTCTTGGCTTTCTGCTCCGCCTTGCTACCTCTAGCTGCTGCCTTTTTCAGTTCAACTTCCTTCTTCTGCAATTGTGATATCTCTTTCCTGCACACATTTTTATCATGGGATAATCACAAGAAGCAATAAAGAACCTAAAGGCCAACACAAAGCCTCAAGTATGAACCCATAATGATGAATATATGGGAAACCACAATCAATTAAGGGTGTGATCAGAATGAACATCTTTAATTTACATCAGAATCAAATACCCATACATTAGGCAATTTGTTGGGGGGGGGGTGGAGTTATAGCTAAGAAAATGCGTATTGTCCAAAATAGATGCATTTTCCCAATTTTAAAATTGCTATATGTGCGCACCTGTTCAAGTTATGATATTGTGTTATATGCATACATATGTGCATGTGTGTTATGTCATTACTCATCATATCATGTTTGAGACTGCGGAAGTGCATGTGCTTAATGTCATTTTAGAGTTTTGCGTCTTGTTATATGCGTACACATAAACATGTGCATGTACAAAGCTGTATCATGTGAAAGCATGTGGACGCATCTTGTTGTTTGCATGCATGCGCATGCACACATGTGATGTCATGTTGTGTTATACATGAATGTCTGCACGGCAAGGGTGCATCTGGTGAGTATGCATGCACATTCAATAACATATCATCTGCATATCTGCGTTTTAAATTTTTTTTCAGGTCTGGCACATTTGAAGCATGCTAGAAAAACTGAAACTAGGTCAAAGAGGGAGAAAAAAGTATGCACCAAGAAGATAGGATAGAAAATAAGACAGCATGCAACATTTGGGATCTTAGTACCCGAGTTCTCAGTATAATTGATTTAAAAATCAAGATTACCAAACACAGTAATTTTTCCTCTTTCAACTCTAAACATTTACAGTATATTAAGTAAAGTAGGACGTCTACAACGCAAAATAAATGCCTCTAGCAAGAGTTGGCTAGTTTATTGAAATCGACCATAACAGGTTATATGGTTAGATATTGACTACATTCGCATAATAAATCACTAAATATCATTGAACCAAAATCAATGATAGCAAGCTTAGTTTAATTAATAATTTAACCCAAAAGTTACATCATACAATGCAAAATAAATGCCTCTCTGATCTCAGGGCAAAACAAGTTAACAGGTTATATGGTAAGATATGCACTGCATTTGCATGCTAAGTCACCGTGTCCTCTACACCTGTAGGAGGTCAGAACCCCAAATACCCAAGATGCTAAGGCAGGAGATAGAAGAACCATCTGAATGAATAAGGAGCTCTGTTTTGAATTCAAATCTTGAAAGACTACTAGTTTTCTGAAGATGAAAATAGGGTTAGAATGGAGTTGAAAACAATGAATGTAAAAAGATCTTGCTCTGAAGAACAGAAACAAACAGATTAAATTCTGAAGTCTGTAAAACACACCTAAGCCATAGTTTCGGCAACCTTTGAACTGTTATTATAGGATAGAGAACCAAGAAATATGCACTGCAAGGTTCCCCAATAGAAGGATTTGGGGACTTCCCTGGGTACCTGGCAGCTTAGCCAATGCACACTCCCATGTGATGGTTAGTCCAGCCCTAAGGAACCAAGCACTATCCTAAGAGAGACATGGCAAAGACAGTGGTATGATTAAAGCATCATGAGGTCCAGCGACAGGCCAAACAAGTGTAAGGAAATCATTTAATGCAACAGCCAGGCAAAGTGATTTATGTTCTTGGGTGATTGAAAATCACTTGAGCTGTATTCAAGAATAAATGAATCCATACAAACAATGAGGCTTACTACCATTGATTGATTATATGAACCATGAAGTGCATTACCTGTGCCGAGAAAGCACTTCATCACAGGTTTCATCCTTCTTTTGTGATTCTTTTTCTGCAATCACTCCCTCATACAACTTATTCTCCAACTCTTGGGCGTCCTCCATCGGAGCAACCCTTAAAACCAACAACCACAGTTAAGGAAAGAAACTACAACAATATTTCAATTTTAATTCAATACAAACAATAAAATCAGTTGACACGATCAATTACATTGCAGCAAAGACTTCTGGCCATTCAACAAGACAAACACAGAAGTGGGATGTGTTTGAGGAGCGGATATGAGACATAAAAAAAATTATTATTCAACATGGAAAACACAGGACCACTGCAAACTCAGTTGGCATTGAGGGCAAAGGTACCCTAGTTTTCTAATCATTGAAAACTAAATTAAATTTTTGGGCATGGCATATATAAAAAGAATATCCCTATATTATATAGGTAATTTACCGAACTTCAATCTAATTTTTTCCATATTCAGTATGATGACAGACAAAGCAGGTTTCAAAATTCCACTTGCTACATGCCCTTTTAAGAAAAATGCCTCGTATACACATCATGGGAATGAATTAAAATTGGATAGCAATCCAATGGGAACTTGCTCAATCTCCTTAAAAACAAGAAATCAGCACAATGAGTGCAAGGAAGATGAGCTTCCCTCAATAAAGAGTTGAAAAGAATAATCAGTTGTTGCAGACACTACAAGAGTTAAAGAGAAATTAAGATTCAACTTAATAGCATAAAAGGACTATCTAAAGTGAAAATGAACTAGTTAAGTATACATGTGAATAGTGCATTGCTTACAGCCACAGAAGGACCTATATTACACTCAGTTCAGGCATCTGCCCCCATTGAAATCTTTGAAATATGCATAATTGATATAATACCCTTTTAGTTTGTGTTCCAAATACTTTGGCACAGCTGGAGCCAAGTCGTTTACAAGATCATACATCACAAATAACTTGAGAATTTTTTAATTTGATGATAATATAAAGAGATGAATCAACAGAGTCAATACACAACAAATCCAACATTGCAAAACAACACAATCCAAAGCATACAAGTCGCTAGTAATAAGAGGAAGATGGCAGAAGTATAATAGCCAATTACACACCGTTCAAGCAAAAACTAGTAAAACAGAGAAAGAAATTAAACTCAATCCGTAAATATTCCCAAATTCAAAAACGTCAATATTCAAACGATAGCACGACCAGATTCGAAGCCAAATCAAAATGGAACATTTAAAACAACGCAAGAACGACCACGCAGACTGATGATGCGGAAACCAATTCAAAGCTAGATTGAACAAATCAATCTCACCGGGTTCTGGGAAAGACCTAGAGTTCGAAACTTCTTCACTACTTGCCTGAGAATAACCACGCAGCGCTGACAATGGTGGATAGCGTCCGACGGAGTGTGAAATGCTTGTTCGTCGAGAAGAAAAATGGAGCCGCTGCTTCTTACTACGAGATTGTGTTTGGTCGGCGTTATAATTAATATTGGGAAGACTTAGGTATAGGTCGAAAATTAATTACTTAAATAATAAAATTCGTTTTATTAATCTATGCTATAAAAGTATCATGGCCTTTTTAGTTTTTTGATTCTTTTAGATGAATACTTAAATACTTAACCTTGCAGTATATACTTAATTAATATAATTTATTCAAACACTTTAAGATAATTATATTCTAATGTATTAATAATAAAAATAATAATAATAAAATCTCTTTAAATTATGTAAATGATATTTTAATTCTTTAAAATATCATAATTTTTTTAAAATTCTTAAAAATTTTTCTGTCATTAAAAAATTAATATAAATAAATAAATATCTTTAGTTCATAAATTCAAATGCGAACTTATAAGTTGTTATTGTATTATTACTATTTTAAAAAGAAAAGTTGTACATTTTAGAATAAAATACATGAATGAAAATTGATATATGCAACAATTAAAATAACATGATTTCAAATGCGAATTTGTAAATTACTGTTGAATTTTTGTAATTTTAAGAAAAAAATTGTGAATTTTAGAATAAATCTTGTGAATGACAATTGATATTTACAACATATAAGAAATATTAAAATTTTAAATGTGAACTTGTGAATCTTGAATATACTTTATGAATAATAATTGATATTTGAATTAAGAATAATTTTATCATTTATATTAATTCTTTAATAATAAAAAAGTTTTTAAAGACTTCATTGATATTATGATATTTTGAGAAATCAATTTATTATAAACATATTTGAAGGGATTTTATCCCTTAATAATATTGATAACAAAAATTTATTACAAAATAAATAAATATATAAAATATTTACTATCTTTTTTTTGTGGCAAAATAAAATATCTGTATCTACTCCTATATAATTGGAAACAAGTACTTTGTATAGGATTAAATATATAATTTTTTTTCCTTTTCATACAGCAATGTGACAATATTACAGCATTAGTAAGATATTATTGGGCAGCTTTTCAAAACCATTTTTTTCATACTAAACTCCTCCTTGCCAAATAGTAACCCAAAAAAATATTTTATATTTAATAATATAAGACATTTTTAAAGCTCTTAATAGAGTAATTAATTATTTTTAAACTAACATGATCATTTCATATTACCCATATTTAATTAGGTATTTCACTTTAAAATAAATATACATTAATTTATTTATTGTGGACACTTTTAAAAAAAATATATTAATTATATTTTAAAATAAGAAAAATATTTTATATTTTTTAAGGGATGGAGTAAGATTTTTAGAAGGATTTCATTAAAATTTTTGGTTGCATGGATATACTAGTGAAGCATCTATTCCAATAAATGTGCGTTCAGCCTCCCCTCCAATGGCCATTGCATTTCTCCATGACTCTTTTCCATATACTAATTACATCGGGGAGTAAAAATTGGCTAGTTAAAGTTAGGTTTTGGTTGAGCAAATGAGAGCACATATGATAGATTAGAGACTTAAGTATGGTCTAAAACCGATATGATTGTTTTTTTTTCCCCTGCAACTCATTTTCCTGGTTTATCTAAAACTTAACTTAAAAGCTTATCTATAAATAGGCTTACGTAATAGGTTTTAATGATTTCAAATATACTTTAAAATTATTAAAGCTTATATATTCATAATGTGATTTATCAACTATAATACATAATAAGCAAGAGGATTTACCAGCTATAATATTATATAACAATGTATCAATGATATTGAAATCAATACATAAAATCCAATTTGATTGAAAACGTAATTAAAAAAATGGAAATAAAAAACAAGTTAATTAAAAATCAAATGATAAAATCAACATATAATCAATTCTTCATGCAAAAACTAATAAAAAAACATAGGCAAAGAATAACTTATCGAGTGCTTTTAAGTCTCAATTTGAAAGATAAACAAGAAGAGGGAGAGGGGGAGAGTAGAGTATATTATCTCATAATTGCTAAATTAAATATTAGGAAAAACTAAAGATTTGATCATTTTAATTTTGATATAGTTATAACTTAATTTTTAAATTTTAACTCATTATAATTTAATTCTTATAGTTTTAACTCAATTATAATTTATTTTTTAAATTTTATCTCTTGCAATTCAGTCCCTGTAATTTCAACCATTTAAACATTGATCCTTATATTTTAACAAATAAAATTATGAAATTAAAAATATTTTAAACTTTTAATATTTATAAAGATTAAAATTATATAGTAATTTAAATTATTAGTCATAAATTTTAATATAATTTTAATCTTTATAATTTTTCACAACTCTAAAAACCAAATTTCAACATTTAAAGTTAAAAATTGAGTTACAATTGAGTTAAAACTATAAAAATTAAATAATAAATTTTTTTCTAAATATTATTGTGTGTATTGAGAAAATTACTAAGCACAAGTAACATAATCAATCACAATACAATCACCTAAACTTAATATTCCTCATCTATAAAATAAATTAACTTTTAACTTCATTATTCTTATTTTATTATATGTTTTTTAAATTTTCATTCAAAAATTAAACAAAAAATTAAGTTATGAAATAATAGAAATCTCCCTTAATCTACAACTTAACAATTGTTTTTATGTGAAACACAAAAAAAAAAAAAAAGTATAAATAATCACTCAAGCTAGGTTAAATCACTCTTAAATTATTATATCAATTGATTATAACAAATAAAACTTTAAATAAAATTTATAACCTAAAAATCATGTAATAAAGTTATTCTAATTAGTAAGAACAATTAAAGAACACAATTTAAAAGTAGAGAAAAGAAAAGCAAATTAAAATATAATTAAAATAAAAGCTTTTCTGAATATTAAAAACTATAATTAAATTTTAAAATTATAGTTTATGATTGATTACATTAAAAAAATTTTTCATGAAAATAAAAATGAAACAAAAACAGTACGAGAACATGAGAATATCCATCGTCCAAAAGACTGAAGAACAGAACAAAAGACGAACAGCAGTCTCCTTAGCTTCCCTCCAGTTACTACGAAGCCTGCTCTCTTTACTATTAAAAAGTCCTGCTGTGCGTCCAACATTAAAGAAAAACTTAATAATTTATTAGAAAGATAAAACTATCCTTAATGACCCTAATTAACAATTACATTAAAAAACACAAAATAAACATAAATAAAATTTATAAGATTCAATTCTTAACTTTATTTTTAAATATGCTATATTTTTCTATCTAAAATAATCTCTATCAATATCTTTTAAATTAGATTTGGAGAATCTGCATAAATAAAATAAATTAAATAATAAATGTGTATGAATATTAAAGATATTATTTATATTTTAAAATTTCAGATTTAGTTAGTTAAAATTTAAAAGTTGAATATTAGCTAATAAAATCAACTAATATCTAATTAATTTTAAATAAATATTTAAAAGTCTAAATTAAAAGGGTAAAGATGTATAAAATTGGTATATGTCAATGATGATATTTGTACAGGTAATGTTTAATCCTCAATCTGTCGTAAAAATAATATATATATATATATATATATTTAATCCTCGTACCACTTAAATATATCAGGAGATGACATATATTTACATTTTAATATTGCTAATTTCGTTGAAAGAAACAAAAAACTTCAGGAAGAAGATTGGATGACATAATTTGGGCATAAAGAATCAGCCAAAGCCACGCCATAGCACGAGGGGCAGTTTATCCCCCAATGCAGAGAGTTCTCAAAAACAAAGGTTAGGAGATATAAGCGAAAACAACGTATAATTGGGTAAATCCATGACATCCGGTGCCTAAGGGGAGAGATCCACCCTGCATGACCAAGCCAGTGTTTCTACGCCACTTGAGAAACAAGAGAAGGTTTAAATCTCGGAAATGAAAGCGAACAAAAGGTTAAGGGAAAATCAAATTCAAGTCCCACAAAAAAAATAAATAAATACAGCCAAGTTCTACAAAATAAAAAAAATATTTTGGAGTTCCTTGGTCCTTAGGTGTAATTTGGATATATGAGGAATGACCGAAATTGAATTCTGACCCATGATTAAAACATCCCACTCAAAGCCTATGCACCATTTATAGAACAATCCCTCTCAACACTCTTGCCTGTCGAACAATCCCTGAGTTGCTTTGCTTCTTGATAGCTTTTCAGTGAGGGAATCAACGTCTTCAGCCTAGTCGACATCTTCAACTCACTCAACATTTTCTTCCAAAAACTAGGGTATAATTGCTCATCCTTTCATTATTAGACTTACTTGACTGCTCTATTCGCATATAAATCAAAACTCTCAATTATGTTTCTCTAACACTACTTACTTGCATTTGCTATTAACGACTTTAGATTACTTGCATTTTCGTGTGATAAGCTGTCTCTCTCGATGGCACTAGGTTCATTTTCCACTCTTTTTAGTGCTTCATAGAAAAATCTTGTGAAATGGAAAAATCATTCTATGGTTCTAGTTCTGAAATGTAATTGATTGTGTGCAATATATATATATGTGTGTGTGTGCGCGCTAATAAAACAATAATAAGTTCACTCAAGAAAATAACAAGTAATGTATGAGGCATTAACTGTTAAATGAGTACATGCTAATGCCAAGTAGAGTACTGTAGAGAGGTAGTATGGACAACATGGCTTTCCTATATAAATGATGTAATATCTCCCTTACCTAACACATTTAACACTTAAATCCAAGGTAATTTTTGGATTAATCCAAATTAGATTACTAAGCTTGTAATTTGTAAAAATTATATTTCAAGTTTTTATAAATCACAAATCACTTAAACGTCGTTTAATCAATCTCAAATCAAAGTAGAAAAATGTTTTAAAAGCATGGGACATCTCGAAGGAGTGAAAATACTTGAAAACAATTGAAAATTTACAAGACAAGAAAAAACAAAGCAACATGCCGTGGCTTATGCACATGCGTCATGGTTTCCCCTTTCTTGTGCCACGTGTGTATTGCCCATTTTCACACAGCAGTTCTGTTGTCATTTAACAACAACTTGAGCA